CCTTCTCACAGCTCTTTAATTTTCCCTTTCTCTCCTGCTTTGGACCATAGATGTACTCTTTAGAATAAGCGTGGTGTCCTTCCAACTCAGCCTCAGAGACGGTGTTTCTGTCTCTTTACCTTTTGGATTTTCAGCATAGGTCTTAGGAAATCAGCTGTTTCTTGAGGAACTCACTACTACATGCCAGACATCATCAGGTACTGTGTGGGAACAGAGAACAGAACAATGCACTGAACAGATTACAGAGCAGCAGAGACCACCTCTCCAGAGACCACCTCTCCAGAGACCACCTCTCCAGAGACCACCTCTCCAGAGACCACCTCTTCAGGCATGGGATGCAACCCAGGGCAAGTGCCCTACCACTGAGCTACCTACTCAGGCTGGAAGAGATAGTCTTCAAGGGGGATAAAGCATGTAGGAGGGAGCAGGCAGTTTAGGGGTGTGTGGGTCCTAACACAGGCAGGGCAGGCAATGACGATTTAGCAGTAGGTGTCCCAAACAGGTCATCTGAGACACCACCTTCCTCCCTCTGTCATCGTTCTGTTTTCTTCTGAAATCTGGGGACTCCACTCCTATCAGAGCACGCTGTTTTTAGCTCTCACAAAAGACACAATATTGGAAATTAATACATTTTTATTTTTGTTATTTCTACTTTATCCTTTTGATGGTTTTTCATTTTCATAGTCATTTAGAGATGAAGAAATTAAGGTTCAAAATATTGTGGTAATGCAGTTTTTGAGGAAAAGCCTCTTGAATTTCAGACCGACTTGAATTTCAGCTGGTTCACCAATTCCAGCAGCACACGACTACAGTCGCAGTTTAGTTGTGAACTGGGGTTAAAATGTTTGGAAATTGTTTTAGTAAGTGAAACTGGGAACAACCCAAACACCAAGCACCATGGGTTGTACTGTGGTTTGCACGTGACCTCCGGTCCATGTGCTGGGAGCTGAGTTATCCAAGCCGTTTCTGCTCACTTAGTGTTTGTTGAACAGCTTCAGGCCTGGAGGGAAGGACATGAAAAGGAGTCTGCTCTCTCCCCTGGACCGAGGACACACTCCTCTTTTTCTCTAGGACATTTGTACTCCCACTCTTCAGTAAGCCCAGGATCTAAACAAGGTCCCCCTGTTGTCAGGCCGTGGCCTGAAGGGTTACATCATCAGCTTCCCTTGTTCTGAGACCTTTGACCTTGGAATCAGCCCTGTTATCTGTGTCCTAGGGTTCCCGTTAGCAAACAGCCAGTTTTGGAACTTCTCAGCATCTGTGAGCTGTGTATCTATCTAAACAGGTGTCCGCTCTGAGAGAGATCTATTTGTCTACCTAGTTCTGTATTACACTGTTTTTGTCTCTTTGGAGAACCTTGCTAATATAGGAATAATTACATAAATTAAGATGCTCATTCATATCATAACAGCATCCAATATCATATGGTAAGAGCATGTGTTCTCTTCTGGAAGGATTTCTAAGATAGATTGTGACTAAGAGGACACAAGTACAAGCTGCTTTCCTCTAAGAATGGAAAGCAAAGAGTGAGATAAAATGTATTCACTTGGACTGTCATCAATGTAAATTATCACTGGGAAGTCACACAAGGGATGAAAAAGAGCTAGGGAGATGTAGGAAAGTTGATTTGTTTTGTTTTTTGAGTCAGGGTTTCTCTGTGCAGCCCTGGGTGTCCTGGATCTCGCTCTGTAGACCAGGCTGATCTTGAACTCAGAGATCTGCCTGCCTCTGCCTCCCAAGTGCTGGGATTAAAGGTGTGTATTACCACACCCAGCTAAAAGGTAGTAATATATACCTTATAAAAATTATGCATATGTGTGTATGCCTGCTTGTCTGCACATGAACCACATATGTGTGATACCTATGGAGGACAGATCTCATGTCTATAATACATAACATGTATATAATGTATCTTGGTCGTGTTTACTGTTACCCTCTCTCTTTTCCCTCCCATTTCTGCTGAACCCCTTCCTTCCTTTCTTCTCCTTAATAAAACTCCCCCCAGCATTTTCATGTCTTTTCATGAACTACTGAGTATAGGCTCATTTGCATGAACACGAATGGTAGGTTATTTCTGGAGCATGGAAGGCTACATTTGTGTGTGTGTTTTTTAAAGCATATTTCTTTGGCAATAATGATATATTTTAGAATCATAACACAGGGACTAAAAAGCAAGTTTTTCAGTGTTTCAAATTCTGGCATAATATGTTGCTAACAGCCTTGTTTAAAACAGAAACACATTTTGAGTCTTTCTGAGTATGAGCATCTTCTGACCCTTGGGTCATTAAGGACAGAAGGAAATAGTCTGTACAAGAGACATCCCAGCTCAGGAACCTGGAATGTGCTGTTTCTTAAGATGTACAGGTTTGTCATATGCCCATAGATTTTTCTATCTACACTTCCTTGTCTGTTTTCCCTGGTGGTCTGTTAAGCAGAACTTCATTCTTTGTCAGCTCAGCTATTGACTGTACAGTATCTTTGTGTGTAGTTTCTCCTGATAAAAGTCCAGCACAGAAAGCACTTTACATCCTTAGAGCTTCTTGCATGCACTTTGGGTCCCCATCTTTTCTGGTTGAAAACTCATATCCCAGACTCTAGTTTCGTGGATCCAGGTCTGCTATCCACTGAAACATTAGTTTCTGAGATTCAGAGATTACTAATCAGACATCTCAAAATTCTGACTGTTTTCAACATACTTTTAACAATCTTTACATCTTATGATTTGGATAGCTAAAATCCATGTTGAAAGAATAAAATTCTAAGTTTAGTAATACTTACAAAAATCTATAGCTATAGTAATATACTATACCCACATACACATTTGTTCTCTGAGTTTAATTAGGGTCTTTTGTGTGAGCATGGGTAATGAGTTTATTTATTAGAGCATGGAAGACTAGGTTTTTGGTAGGAGTAATAATTTTTAGGTCTGTGATGTAGGGTCAAAGGCACCACTTATCCGTTTCTGAGAATTGATGGGTTTGGCAAGCACTTGATATCCTAGCATTTCTTCATTATGGAAACCTAAAGGAGAGAAGGAATTACAGGAAATGAGTTTGGAACCTTCCCAGCCTTCATCCATGCACAGACCTTTTCCCTTGTTCTGAGTTAAGTTCTCTCTAGCTCGTGGCCCTTCTCAATGCCTCACATATAAAACTCTCATAGCCAAAGGGCCCAGACTCCCTTTGCCCTTCAGATAGAGTTGACAGTTGGCAAACAAAAGTACAAATTGTCTAGTTGTAACTGGAAGAACAGAGACAGGAGTCGAATCTTTAAAACTCAACTGTATTCAGGGAGCCCACAGTTTGAGAGGACAGTGTGCTAAAATCCTGAAAATCAGTCTCCTATTGCCTTTCCAGATGGAGAAGATGGGCTGGGGACAAAGGCTGCCAGTCATTCCAGAGCTCAGTCCTGCCTCTCTAGTCAGGTGATCAACCACATTTTTGAGACTGTGGTGTCCATGCCTCGCTAGTTATCTCCTTCCACTCTCTTCTCATTCTGTGAATGTTTGTGTTCAGGCTCTTCTTGAAAGAGAGTCTAACTAGTTTCTGCTGGTATTCGTTTTGTATTCCTTCAGGAGCACCTGAGCTGGCAATAGCTTAACTCAGAACAAATAAACCATTAACAGTGTGTACGCTAAGCTAGTAATGACTCATGTGAGCCAATTCCTTTCTACAACATGGAGTAAAAGTGTGTCTTCAAAATAATACAGAATATGAAAGAGTTTCTATATATCCCCCTTTTTCCTTGTCACAGTTAGATTCAAATTTCTGGGTCTTTTCTTTTTGTTTTGTTTTTCTATCTATTTAATTTTTGAGTATAGTATGTATCATGAAATATTGGGTCAAGAGATACCAAAACAATTATTTAATGCTTATCTGAAACTCAGATTAGTCTGGTAGCCACATTGTATCACGTGACCGATTCTTGCATGCCACCTGACAGGAGAATGTTGAATGTACAGCTCGTTAGCCCAGAGGAACAAGAAGTCCCTAGCCCACAGCAATCCCAGAGAACTTTTGTGAAAGACACGTGCATAGCCAGTCTGTCCAATCCATTCAGGCAGCCCTTGGAAACTTGAAATGTGGTGAATGAGACTGTGAGCCTGAAGTTTTCATCACCAAATATAAGTTTAATAGGTCACAGGTGGCTCTGCAGCATTGGAAAGCACAGATCTATATTGTGTCCTTTGTTCTCTTCCCAAACCTAGCTAATGCAGTTTAAGACCAAGAGGTGACTAAAATGGCCCATACCTGGTAACATGCTCATGGCTCTCTAAAACTTAGGTTGTGAATATCCATTCTGTGCACATGCAGTGTGTCATCAATTACATATGACTTCGTGTGTGGGGAGGATGCTAGGTGCCAGTATTCAGGCCCAGGTAAGATGTAATTTTTTAATAAACGCATCCAGTAGAGAGCTAGCTCTAGAATTTCACCATTTAGGATGGAAACATTTACCACAGAGTGGACACCGAAAATAGATGAAACAGCCTTTTTTGTTTCTGCTTTTGAGCTGTGTGACCCTTCTCCCCCATGATTTTAAGCAAACATCTATTAGATATAGATCCACAACATTTAAAGAAGATTCCTGCAGTGCAATTCAGCCAGCAGAGAATAAGCCTTGAAAGAATTCATTGTTACTGTGAGACAGAAATCTAGTGGACGAACTGGGAAACCATAGAAAACACAGGTAGCAACTGCTTTCAGTGATACTGTGTTTCCGGGAGGTGGGTAGGAGGAACAGGACTTCCTTCACCACAGCAGACATTTTTACATAAAAGTCAGACAAACATACTTTGGACAATAAAAGGCTGTCTGGGCCAAGACATCGTTCTCCAGCTCACTGGCCAGACATGGGAATGCTCCCTCAATGCCAGACTCCCTAGTGGATGCTGGGGCATGACACTTGGTAGACCAGTTCTCACTTAATGGAGCAATGTCTCACTGGAGAGGGAATGGCAGGATCTGATCATCTCAGACTCTTTTAAAGAATCGAAACAGGTGCTGACTTTGCTAACACGTACACTAAAATTGGCACAATACAGAGAAGCTTAGCATGGCCCCTGCACAGGGACACACAAATTTGTTCAGCAAGATGTATTTCTGCTATCTTCTGAATGTGACATGTCTAATTGCAATCATGAACTCACAGAAGAAATGATTACCTGTCCATGACCTGCACAAGATCAAGACAACCCAGACTCTGACATAGAAGTGATATGTATATAACGGCATACTTGTGTGCATACATATATAAATATAAACATATATATGAAATCTGTGTGTGCTTTGTTTTTATGTAATGACATCCTTGCTCAAAGTATATATATATAAACACAAAACATGCATTAACACTCTGGTATATGAAAGGTCTTTAAAATGTCATTGATATTTATATTTCATAATTTAAAATGCAAACTCCTAGCTAGGTCTGTTTTACCTGAAACCAAAGGATGCAAATGATGTGGCAGGAAAGTTAGTGGAGCAGTTTCAGAAAGACAATACAAATAGCAATACAAAAACCTTAGTGCACCAGAACCCGAGGGTATGGGGGAGGGGAGGAGACCAGAAGGACTTGAGGAGCAGAGGAGATGACTTCAGAGAGCTGGTGGGCTGAGAGAGTGCAGAGACAGGAGAGGAGCCTCAGATGAGAGTAGGAAATATGGAGGATTAATTTACACAGGTCTTGACGTTTGTGGTGACTCGAAGTTTGGATTGGTAATACAGGAAAAGCATTAAGTTCCACTGTTGACTTGAATAAGTAGACTTATAGTAATGTCATTTAGTGGCCTGGGGAAAACAGAGGTGACAGCCTTAAGGCACAGTGGGAAATTGAGTGTCTTGAAAGTGTCTACATTTGAGGAGCTGGTTAAAGTTTAGATACATTTTTCATTCTGTGGAAGAGGACAGGGCTAGAGATGTGTAACTGGAGGTTTATTACCTTTACATTGTTTTCAACACTTCAAGATTCATGAAATCATGAAGGGAAGTGTGTAAAATCTGCAACCAGATCCAAGCTCTCTTTCTTTCTTTTTTTTTTTTTTTTTTTTTTTTTTTTTTTCCGAGACAGGGTTTCTCTGTGTAGCTTTGGAGCCTGTCCTGGAACTCACTCTGTAGCCCAGGCTGGTCTCAAACTCACAGAGATCTATTTGCCTGCCTCTGCCTCCCAAGTGCTGGGATTAAAGGTGTATGCCACCACTGCCTGGCTCAGATCCAAGCTTTCTAAGGTCCTCAAAACTCAAGCATCTGAGATTCTGATCACTGTGAGGTGGGCATTCCACAGAAGGCCAGTTCTTTTGTGGAATTTAGTCAAAGACCTACATTTTCAGCTCAAGCTATATCCACAAATACAGCAAAGAATCGGTCATGCTCATCTACACAATGCCCAGTAAGCTATAAGCCAGGGATGGAGCCACCAGAAATGGCCTGTGCCTGTACCTTGATATTAAAATCCTCCTCCAAAACAATGAGAAAATAAGTGTGCCACATCATTCAAGATGTGTCACACTTTGTTATGGGAGTGAGGGCAGGCTGGCAGATCAGAGTACCAAGAAAAGGGCGCTGCAGTAACAGACATCCGACACCGTGAAAGTGGTTTTAGAACTGAGTAATTAGGAAAGGGTGACATAATTCTGAGGATCATGTTGGAGAAATTCACTGCAAAGTGCTTGTCAGTAGAAATGGAGTTGTCAAAGGTAATTTCTGGGGAGTGCTTAGAAGGCAAAATGAAGAGTGATATAGGATGCTTCCATTTTCTTGGAGAATGATTGTTAATAAGCACAATGTTGATGCAAATATGATGGCTACCCAGACCGTTTCACAGGGACATGAAAGACAGGCTTTTGTCAACAGGAGGAAAGGTGATCCTCATTCTAAAGCGGCGCAACACTTGGCTGTTTTAGTTCAAGTGTTGAAGCAACAAAATTAGGTATTTAGTGGAGTAGCTGTATTTAATGGAGTAGCTGTATAAGCAAAATTGGAAAGAGACAGACTTAATCCCTTTGTGTAAGTAAATGTCAAAAGAAAGAGGTGATTAGATAAAGGGATTGTTAAGTCAAACAGTACTAGCCCTTGGATATTCGAAATCTGTCTATCTATCTATCTATCTATCTATCTATCTATCTATCTATCTATCTATTCTCTATATACCTATCTTCTTTTTTCATATTACAGTTGTCATATTGTGTTTGTACATGTGTGCGGGAGTGTGTTAGTGGGTGTCTTGGGGACCAAACACAGGTTGTAAGTCTGAGCGGGTAAAGGTATTTACTTCTGAGACATTCAGACTCCTCTCTGTTTTTCGGAGACAAGGTATCATGTAGCCCAGGCTCGCCTGGAACTCACTATGTATCTGAGGGTACCTCCCAGGTGTCCCGCCTCCACCTTTCCAGCGCTGGGATTACAGATGTGCACCGCCACACTCCTGTATTAAAGACGTATGGATGAGCAGCCTTTTGACAAAAACATCACGGGTGTAAGTTGTGAGCATGCTCACCCGGCCATTTGAGCAGGAAGTCATAGAGAGAGGTAAGAATCACTCCAGCAGAGATGCTGTTCATTTAATGTAAAATTAGAGAGAGGAATAGAATGATGGAAAGGTGTCATGTTTTTTGAATTCTATATGATGAGACCATAAACTCTTCTACTGTGAACAAGCCCTGTCTTTCAAGAACAGAAGAGTACCCCAAAAGCAGGTTTAAGATCACTGTGGCTGACACTTCCCCTTAGGGTATGTTTTCAGATTCAGCTGAGGGTGGGAGAGGGTAGGCAAAGTCTGGTTTGGATAGCTGTGCACGGGCCAGTCTCTTATTGAGAGCTGCTTGAATAGAAATCTACCAAACTACAGGATCAGGACTCTGTGCAGAGGAGTCAGCCTTATACAGACTCAAGAAGGTAACATTGCCACAGCAGTTGGCCTGAAAGCCGGACAGAGTTCATGAGTGTATTCTCAAAGACTTAAGATCTAATGGACTTGGCCTTCTCAGGTTATAGACCTGCTTTAGGATGCCTTCTCCTTTCTTCTTTCATAGATCTGCCTTTGGGCATGCAAATGTCTGTCTAATGCCTGTCACAAGTGTGTTTTAATATCATTTATTTATTAGTTATTTTTTATATGTATGGGTGTTTTGTTTTGGTTTTGTCTCAGCACCATGTGCCTGCAGTGCTTGCGAAGGCCAGAAGAGGGCGTCAGATTCATTGGAACTGGAGTCACAGACGGTTGTGAACAACCCGGAGCGGGGGGGTGGGGGGGGGTGGGGGTGGGGGGGGGTGGGGTGGGGGGGTGGGGGGGGGTGGGGGGGGGTGGGGGGGGGGTGATGGGCATCAAAGCCAGGTCCTTGGCAAGAGCAGGGGGTACTCTAAACTTCTGAGCCATTCTTCCAGCCAGACAGCTGTATTTTAGAAGCCTATGACTTGTCTGGTTTCACAGGTTCAGAGCTGGAGAGAAATTTTGACTCAGGATAAATGTATCTTGTGTCTCATCCTGGTTCAGTTAAGCCTTTGAGGGCTTTGGAGATGTGATAAGAGTATTTTGCTTGAGAAAAGGACATTGGTTTTGCCAGGCCAAGGGTAAAATTTATAGAAGAGATTGTGACTCAATATTCACACATTGAAACTCTAAACTCAAGCGTGACTATCATGGGCGATAGGGACACAGGACTTGGGCCTTGGAGGACACCAAGGCTCTTTTGACTCCCTTGCTGAGAAATGGGCAACAAACCCACAGTGAGATGACAGCCAAGAGGAAGCCCAGTCTGGAGCCAGACACAGGTCGTGCCTTAGTCTTACGCTTCCAGGCACTAGAAGAGGGAGAGATCATAGGACTATCCAATCAGCAGCCAGAGGAGACGGGGATAGTGGAGCGTGTGACAAGGGGTTAAGCCTTGACAGCCAAATAGTGTTGGGGAATATTATTTTAAGGTGTGTTACTTTTGCTTATGTTGCATTTGTTTAACTCTGTGAAGCTGTGTTACTATACCTGTCTAAAACACCTGATGGTCTAATATAGAGCTGAAAGGCCAATAGCAAGGCAGGAGAAAGGATAAATGGGGCTGGCAGACAGAGAGAATAAACAGAAGGAGAAAACTGGGCAGAGAAAAAGATCAAGGAATGAGAGAGAGAAGGAGGAGGACTCCAGGGGCCTGCCACCCAGCTACACAACCAGCAACGGAGTAATAAAGAAAGGCATACAGGAATAGAAAAAAAAAAGCCCAGAGGCAGAAGAAAGATGGGATAATTAAAGATAAGAAAAGCTGGCAAGAAATTAAGCCAGGCTAAGGGCGGGCATTGATAAGTAAGACTAAGCCTCCATGTGTGATTTATTTGGGAGCTGGGTGGCAGGTCCCCCAAAAGAGCCAAAATACCACCATCAACAAAAGAGCATAGATGGGAGAATTTGGAATTCAGCACTCTTGCTTCTTGAAGGAAGAGCTCAACTAATAGCAATGTGCATAAGTTCTAAAGCCTACAAGATATGCATTCCCTCATCATGGCCAGACTAGTACTATCAATGAGAATTCCTGGGAAGAAGCTGCATCTGCAGACTGACTAATTAGAACTGCAGTGATGTGGAGGTCCAGATGTTTTCACTCCAGAGGCTAATCACCTCATCTTAGGCTAGCCTTAGCCTCCTGTATAGCCACTTCTTGCCCACTTCTGAGTCTGAGCTAACATCTTGTGACCAATAGACAGAAAACATTTTGAAATCTCTTAACTTAGCAGACCACCAGCTTTCATCATCCCAAATGTTAAGAATGTCATCAAATAGCATCTGAGACCTAGAGAAAAGCTTCTCCCATCTTGCTTTATCCATCCCTCTGATGTACCCACCAGTCTATTTTTTAGTTTGACTTGATTTATGACTTTCTTTATTCTGTAAATCTACAGAACACCAAGAAAATGCTTACATGTTGGAAGATGGAATTTAGGGTAACCTAAATCTGAGTTCTCAGGCCATGGTCACTAAAACTTAAAAGTAAACTAGTTTTTTGTTATTGTTTGAGCGTGTGTGTATGTGTGTGTGTGTGTGTGTGTGTGTGTGTGTGTGTGTGTGTGTGAGAGAGAGAGAGAGAGAGAGAGAGAGAGAGAGAGAGAGAGAGAGAGAGGA